TGTGGGGCCTAATTGCTTTTCGTTTGATTTGTTTCTTTCATGGAAGACGGGCCAAGACATCTCTGCCTTGCTAGGTACTAGGACATCTCTGCCTTGCTAGGTACTAGGACATCTCTGTTTTGCTAGATACTTTAGATTTTTTAAACTCCTAGTTAACCAAAGATCACACCCCTTGCTCAGGGGGCCGGAGAGGGGGGGGGGGGGGTGGGGGGGGCGTTAAAAAATACGCTGTCGCGTTTAAAATTCCGTAGAGTGCTGAGGTTAGCATGGGCTGAAAAGAAAATATTGTAATTTCCACTTACAAATTGTCATGTCTGCTTCTCAGAGAACATGATTGCTAAACATGTACTTTTTCAGATATGCCGTTAGGCATATATACTATATTGCAAAAGTTTATGAGTTACCTAATCGAACCACTTTGGGTATGTTAGACAAAGAAACGTGGAACGTACGACAATCGAAATAGATCCTCAACATTCTGAAACGTTCGCACCTTTCTTCCTCTCTCGGTTGCTTTCTACGAAAATTGTAAATACTGATTTCAACCAAACAACTGCAGAAATCATTATATTTACCGGAAGTACAACAGATATTAATAACTAATAGCGGAGTAATAACAAATACCAGTTAGACGTTGTTATTCATTATCCCGACAGATTTTTTTTTCCCGTTGAGTCGTATGAGCAACCTTCGCAATATCTTGAATTTGTGCCCACCCTAAAGAAGAAACGTTATAATCCCGACGATTCTATGATGTTACTGCACTCATAGCACACATCAAAATTTAAAAAAAAAATGTGTTTTTTTTTTTTTTTTTTATAAATATTGTTGATTACTTCAAAAAAAGAAGAAAAAAAAAGGAACGTACCGCAATGTAGCCTGTGTCTCCGTTTTATGGGTGGAGGTTAAATTTTATTTTGAATAAGACAAAAAGAAAATGTCTTCATCAGTCTAATAAATTCGATGAGCAGACAATCTGTCATGCGTGCATTATGCGTGACTTACGTTTTTCTTTGGTTTTTTTTTTTTTTGTTTTTTTTCTTGGTTTTTTTTTTGCTTGTGTACGGAGCGTTTTGGAGTGGTTTCGTATGCTTTGGACGCACGACACACTCATACACTCCCCCAGTGTATGAGAATGTTAAAAAAAGGTTGAACTTATTGAGGAACGGTGACGTCGTAAGATCACGTGGGGAGCGATATGTGCCTTCTCTCCAGGTTCGCGACATCTTTCCGGCACTCTATGACCCCGAGAAAGCTCCCCACGTGACCTTACAACGTCACGGTTCCTGAAAAAATAGAGAGAAAAATAAGCAATGAAATCGCTTCCAAAAAAAGGAGGGGGGGGGGGGGGGGGGGGGGGGAGGCGGTGTGCGTTATAGCAAAATTTATACAAATTAAAAAAAAGGAGGAATGACGAAATGTTAGGCTAGGTGGCGGAAGCTGCCGCCCGTTACAAAGGGTATAGCCATTAACATTCATCCATGCATCCTTGGGCGCCAAGCGTGTGAGTGAACCCGAGCCCTCACCGAAACGGTGACGCAGTGCTCGTTCTCGATACGAGCTGAAGCGAGTTCACGCCGAATGTTGGCCGACTCCTCCTGTCTAATAGGTACTCAGAGTACGTGCTCAAACGATGGCCGACTCGGATAATTAGCGCAGCAGTTAACAGATGGCGCGTACTTTTGAAAGTGTATATTGTGACTCAGTATGGGCTGCCTTGGCCCACGTGTAAAGGCTGGTTTCCACACTTGCGACGGTCGCGTTCGCGCGCAACCGAAACAACCGCAGTAACCGTGCCTCATAGATTGTTTCGGGAAGCCACACCTCGTATCGCTTGCCAGGCAATGTGTACGGCGAACACTTGTCCCGGCGACTTTGTCGTTACGGTCCTTTCGGTTGCGTGCGAACGGGACCAACGCAGATGTGTGAACCCGCCTTAACGACTCTTCGTTTGGTCACACTGCTCATAGACATTATTCGAAAGACAGTCTGCGAACAGATTCGAACGCGAGTCATACGAGATCCGTGCTTTGAAATTCGAATGTCGCACGACAACGAGTTCGAGGAGAAACTTCGCACGCGGTATTCGAACCACGGATATCACGGTGACTGATGTCTGGCAGACTGTCTTTTGTATGACCGCTCCTTTACGCTCGAGCGCAACGCTTTACGCGTAAAATTCAGCCCTCAAAACGCATTTCGTGTTAAACTACCGACGCGAACGTCACGACGGCCAAAAACATCGTCTGGAGTCGGGCGCGCTTCGTCGGAGCGGCCGGAGCAGTGACCAGCGAGACCTGGCGACCGCGGAAGAGAAAAGGTCCAAGGACCCCCGACCCACTTGCTCGGGCCCGCGATCGAAGCCGCGACCCAGACGCCGGCGGAGGGCCGACGTCGGGGAACGCCGAGGGATTCCCCCAGACGGCCGCCAGACAAGGAGCGGCCCAAGCCGAGACGCGCCGGGCCGAAGTCCGCTCCGTCCCGCCGAGCTCTCGTTCACGGACTAGCGCGCGCCGCAGATCCTTCGGACGCGCTACGTGGGAATCGCCCGTCGACCTGCTTCTGGCCCGCGTGGACTCGATGAGCTCCGTGACGGTGCACTTTTGACTGTTTGATTGGCAATAACGGCTTCGGCTGGGCTTAAAGTGAAGCGGAGTAAAATCACCTGCTATGGGCTGCAATCTTTATTAACCGGGTCGTTCAACGCGTCCTGAACATGCGCACTGGCCTTTTTCTGAAAAAAAAAATCAAACATATATATTAAACATTAAACACTTAAGCGCCGCGCACGCGTCCCCAGTAGTGACTCGACATTATTACCCATGCGAGAAAAGCTGAGTCACTGTGCTCTGGACGCACGGGCAGCGTCTGATATTGCGCAGATGAGAGCTACGGCTTATGCCCAGACCGCCGTTCCACAACCCCCTACATTTTACTTCAGCTCAAGCCCAGGCACAGCCGAAGCCACGAGGTAATGGGACCAACCAAGCATCGTCGAAAGTGCAAGTCACTGTGCCTTTTATGTTTGTGATTGGTTCAGCTATGATAGAACTTGTACAGAAACACGACGAACACGATGATTGTGCGCTTTTGACGCTGTCTGGTTGGTCCCATCAGCTCGTATCGGTTGCGTTAAGGCGAAGCGAAGTATGCGGAACACAAGTTCATCTGCTTCTTTTGCACGGGCTGTGATGACGTCATAATGCCGAGCTCTGACTGGCTCTGATTGGAGGATAGTGGGTAGACCTCAAGGCTGCTTGCTTAGAGGCCTACCCCCTATTTTCAATCAGAGCCAATCACAGTTCGGTGTCTTCTCCGCATAGAATCGTCAAACACATAGGTATCGGGGCGTAAGTTGACGGAGCGCCCCCCCAGTGGGACTTTCACGAAGGTGAGTCCGCCTTTTTGTCGCTCAAGTCCAATCGGTCGCGCTCCGCGAACTTTCTCCGCCACCTCTGTGTTTGACGAGTTTATAGAGGCCCAGTAGGCAAAGGTTCCAGCACGGAAGGCGACGATTGGAATGGTTTAAAGGACGTAACCGCGGCTTCAGTATATTTACATGAATGCCGTGGGCGTGAGCTAGATGCCTAAATCCCGATCGTTAACAGCGTCAGTTTCAAAGAGTGCTTTTCTCTGCAATAAAGAAGAAAACGGTTTTTTCCCCCTCTAATGCGTATTCGTTGTTTTCTTCGCGATTCAGTTTTCAATGAAACCAGAGAGAATACTTGGAGTAAGGTGTGTAGTTGGGCGAGTCGGGGCACAATGAAAAAAAAAAAAAAATAAAACCGAGCAAAAAAGGACGCAGGGACGAGTGGAAAACGCTGTGTTTGTGTGTGTTTTCCCCTTGTCCATTTTTGCTCTGCTTTTTTTTTTTTTTTTTAAGCAATACATGTAGTCGTGTTTATCATAAGAGAAAGTAAATTGGCCAGCCTTCGAAGGACTCTAGAACGAATGTCACGGGATATGGAAGCGGTCACGTTTCATCAGAGTTTGTTGCTGTTTATAATCAGAAGTCCTTCGTAGAATCCGCTACACACAAATCAGTCAAACAAGACTGTGCTAGCGCTGCTCAGTACGACAACTGCCGTAATCCTCGATAGAGAGCTAAAAGCTTATCCTCGGACAAATAGCGTACACTTGAAAGTTTTCCAAGACTTTATCAAATATAATTGCATAGAAGGTAATCGACGATGTAATAAAGGCGTTATCGCTGATAATGCCGAAGCCACGACGCCTTGGAAGGTTTCATATTGACGTACTTTTCCGTTTACCACATATGCCTTTCTATCTAAAAGATTAGGCATAATAAACAACTTGGCGTCTATTTGGTTCAAAACAGATTTCAAGTTGGTTGTGAAACAACACTTTATAAACCTGTTACACGTAAGAAACGTACACCTATTAAATAGAAGGAACAATTTTAAAAAATATGAAGTAATTTAAGGGCCATAATTCGAATGACTTCTGACGTAAACAACTTCGCGAGGGTATTTAAAGTAGACCGTCCAACGTTCACATCGTTTTGTGCAAGCAGGCGGTCGTCTCAGTCTTCAGACAAACAAGAGGAAATATACGCGTGTAAACGCAGGTAAAGAACGAGCAAAAAGCGTCTTCGCACGGTCGTGCTTTTGGCAGAGTTGGGCCACCAGTGCCCCAGTTTGACGATGCCGAGTTGACAAGAAAAGGAATAGAGGTACGTGAAATAGATGTATGTCAATAATGTATTGCCCTGCTAGGAAAGTGCAGCAGATGAACCAATGTCCAAAGGGCCCCAAACGCTGTCGGAAGGCCTTTTCAGCGTATAACACGGAAGAGCAACGGCGAAAGCGGGCAGCGCCGGCAGTCCTGCCCCACACCGTCCCAAACAAACGAACGGACAGCGCCAAAAACCACGGACTGCGCCAAAAACCAGCCGCCGCCTCCGGCGGGCAAGAGCACTTTCAGGAGAGGAGAGGGTCTTCGGAGAGGGGGAGGGAGGGGGCGCGGCAGGAGGGGGCGAGGGAAGTCGGCTATAAGACGCTCAACGTCGAAACCGCCACACCAGAACTCGGCCGCCACTGGGTTCCGCTCCGACCAAGGTCTTGTCTCGAGCACCTCTGTGCCACGCCTGCCTTCATCCCTCCCCGCACAGAATCCACGTCTCGGGGCCCTTCGGACCGTCGAGAATGGCCATCTCTACGTTTCGCCTTAGCATCGGGTGTCGATGTGTTCTGGGCCTGGTGCTGCTGACAGCGGTCGCACCGTGGTCTTGCACCGTGGCCACGGGAACCTCCGGGGCGACCTCGGCCTTCTGCGGCAACGAGACCACGGTCCCGCCGGCGATGCAGATGCTGTCTCAGACGCCCCTGGACCGGCTCAACGCCTCTGCCGTGCAGATGCTCCAGAGGAGAGCCGACGAGCTGTCCAACGCCGTATCCAATACCAGCTTTGCTGAGTCCAGGAGCAACGTTACCGTTTACGAGATTCGACACAGGTGAGCTCGACGGTCCCACGTCCTAGGCGACCCCTGCGCAGATGCGGGTGATAACAAATCAAATGATGGTCAGCGTCTTAATAAGATAACTTTATCTTGAGTATAGAGCGATGTCTCTGACTCGCGCACAGAGCGCGATGTCCCTGTGAGTCGTATGTTGTTTATACACAGTATCGGAGTGTTGGCAGTCTGTTGAACATCTCGCTGCCTTACTTAACCGCAGACTACGTGTGTGGTCAGTCACTTTGGTCCGCACAGAAAATAAAATGACGACGCTCATAAAATTACTTTTGTTGAAAATTCGAGATGCATTGGGTAAAATAAAACCAACTGGGGTTAGTTAGCTACACATAGCACAAAAACACAGCGCAAGAGACAAGGACTAGTAGGGTGGCGCTTGTCCTGTCCTCTCCTTTCACTAGTCCTTGTCTTTTGCGCTGTTTTTCCGTTCTGCGCTATATAATATTAGTCTCGTCATTGTTGCGTCAACTGTTTCTCGAGTAAAAGTTGCATATGACTTAGCACAGCAGTTGATTGTAGGGCGTTTGCCGATATCCTTTATGGGTAGAAATAATATTCTTAAACTTCTAACGTCAGTAAACAGAAAATGGTCGTGAATGGCCAATGCGCGAGATCTAACGCTCGCAGCACGCAGAGAGAACGTTCGCGCTGTAAAACCCAGGGATCCTGGGCTCAATCCCCACCCATGCCCATTTCGATCTGGATGAGCATCGTACCGGCATACGGTCGTGTATCACTACTACGTGATGCACGTTAAAGACCCCAGGCTAGCGGTTGTATTGCATTAGCAAATTTTTCACATCTACAACTGAGACATCAAACGCCAATCGAGACTGATTAACTTCTTGCTTTATAAACATGCACACAACATTATTTTAGATCTAACGGTACGCGTGCAACATCTTGCAATCAGTTTAGAGCGCGAAGGCTCCTGGAGGACTGCAGTAAGTGAGCCCTATACTTTCATTTCGATTGTTTGGTATATTGAAAGTTGAGGGCTTCAAAGCATTTGTTGTACCTTAAGATTGATATGTAGCGCCCCAAAGGCTCAAGTAGCAAGTTGCAAGGAATTACAAGACATTATGGATGCGGGAAAACCAGCAATCAAAAACATAACTCTGCTCATGCACCTCCACATACCAGCCCAGCCTTCTCCTTTCTGATATCGGCACTAGCTCTAACATGCCAGAGTTCACCAAGTGAGAGTTAACCGAAACTTAGTAATCCTAACAAACCGACAACCTCGGGGACACTGTCTATTGTAAAAACAAAGGTGTCTAGTAAAACAACAAAATAATTACTAATAAACTAAAAGCCAATAGAAAGCTTACAAAAACTCGTCTTATCCGCAGCTTAAGGGAAGCAATCCAAAGGATAGGCCTTTGTGAGCACTGAGCACCCAAACTTACGTGAAAGCGAATTGCTTTCAGCAAGTTATGTAGCTCCGAGCACACTGACCCACTCATCGCGTTGTACCCTTCAAGAATACTGATGACCGTTTGCCATTCTTCTCAAACTACGTTGTATAAGGCCGGAAGCAAATTTTCTGTTATTTTTATGGTTAGGAAATGATGCACAGGCACGACACAGGCCGAACAAGCATTCGGCCCCAGTTTATGTTTTCCTTTCACAACTGAAAGGCTCTCATCAACACTACAAGTTGGATGAAGTGTTCTGCTATGGGCACAAACCTAGGATGTGAAATTTGGTATTCGTCAATATCGCACTTGGGCAAAATGGCGAGAAAAAAATAAACACTCTTTTTCATAAGCCGGGGGAGCACAAAATGTTGCTCTTGTTGTTTGCTGGTTTTATGACGCAAGAGCTCCCGCGGCCGTACTGCGCCAAACTAGGTCAATGCACAGAATGTGTCCCACGTGCATTATGCGTGCGTTATGATTTGTTATGTTTGGTTACGCGGAGCTTTGCGTTGTTTTGAATGCGTTGCACTTCATGTGAAAACTTAGCAGTGACGTAGCCTAGGAAACCCCCTCCCCCAAGAAAAAAAAAAATCTGGCTACGCCACTGCACGTTAGGTTTATCGGAATCATCAAGACAAGTGTAGACTTATTCAGGAGGGTGTGTGAGGAGTGTGACTTAGGGGGAAGGTTTCCATGGGTTCTGCTTCTTCCGTGGGTGCGTGTAGCACATTAAGTTCTTAGTGCTATTGGATTGCAAGAAGCCCATTGGGGTAACTGAACTAAGCGCAAGGGGAGGAGGTTTACTGCGCTCGCTACGCTATCGCGACGTCGTACGCCCATTGCGCTATCCGTTGGTGCGTGGTGATTTGACGTGCGATGTTCCGGGAGCTCGTGGGGAGGCTTCGTCATTCAGGAGCCAGCTGGGCGCACCGACGGTCGCCTGTTCAAGCAGGCCCCTGTGAGTTATACTCAATTCTTCGGTTTGCCCTTTTTTTTTTTTTTTTCTTGTATGGCGTCGGGCTGAGAATCGCACCGGCCGGGTTGGATTGTCACCTCTCGCCTCAAACCGAGCTTTATATATATGATCAAGAATGCCTTCTTAATGCATATGATTGCCTGCCATGATCGGTGTTGACTTTATGTTGCCTTCTCCCGTGTGTAACATTTTTTCGTCACACCTGCGCGTAACGCCTTTCAAATAAAACCCAGCGCATAAACACATTCTGTGTTAAAATTGGCAGCGTCCTTTGTCGTTAAATTCCTTGCATGTAACGCATTATTTAGGGCGCGATCGATTTGTTTAAAACATTTGTTGTTACTAAGACTTTTTTTTTAGGAAAGGGAGGGGAGAGGTGACGACCGGAGGGGAGGCAGACGCAAAAGGCCACAAAGCCTGGCGAGACCTCTGCCTCGTGACAGTGCAGGTCAGCCAGCAATCAGGCCGTGCACAAAAACAACACCTAATTCGTCTTTCGAGAAAGTTGTCGGAATAGGTTTTCCGGAATATATGGTTTTTACTTTGTTATTGCCAGTTTACTCATAAACTACCATCACTCGCCACCAAAAATTCGTTAACGTTTTTTTTTTTGTTTTTTTTTTCAATTGTGATAGTTCCTATTACAATTCATTATGAAAATGCATTATGAAAAATAAATAAAATCATTTTTAAGAGTAAAATAAATCCGATGTATTTGACTGAAATCAAATTTAGCAGATTTGAATCACATTAGTTTGTTTTAAATCACTGTAACTAAAGAAAGTGATTCTTTATCTCTAAATGTATTTTTAAACATTGCAGAATTGATCAATCCGTCCGATCACTAAAAGCTATGCGGAAGGAACAAATTACTGTAAATTTCAAATATAGCCCCCACGATACAGCTTTACTTAGTTTTTTAGTTTTGAAAAAGCTTCAATTGCTTTTTTTTTTTTCTATTGCGCCCTGAATTGTTTGCAGAGTGACATAAGTTCCTTTGTATTTTTCGCTTTCGCTTTCTGATTTTTTTGCAGTAAGACATTATGTAACTGGCGAACAAATTGAGAGATAGAAAGAAGCATCGATAAACACTTGAATCTGCCCAGAAGAGCACCACCTTTTACTCATTTTCATCCTGCTATAAGTATTTCTTGATTTAAATACAAAACAAGTGCACATATGAACATCGAACAATAGACGAGCTGCGAATGCAAATATTTTGGGAATTCAGTGTACCGGAAAAGTTTGATTTCAATTATAATTGGAAAACCGGCGCGATTGTAGATCACGAATAAATCACGCTTTAAATCATCATGATTTTTATTCTCCACCCTGCTTAAAAACCTTTCCAAATACACGTGTGTTTTTTGTTTTTTTAGCTTCCGATGAATTGGGTGCAAAAAGGAACAAGAGTGGTGAAAACTATTTTAATATACAGAGAATGCAGGCACATACTCCAGCTACTTTTCCGCATAATCATGACCCAGGTTTAGGCAGTCATTACGACGTGGAACAAGCGTTTGGATGCTCGCCCCGGAAAGAGGTCAACAAGACTGCCAGTCGCCACAGGTGTTTTTTTCATGACCTTCACCATTAAGGACGTCCGTTCTTCCAGGAGCTTCATGCAGTTTCCTCCATAGACATTACACGTCCATGGCGAGGGATGACTGAGTGACTCAGAACCCCGACAGAAACCTTCTGAGTGGAGAGCGTCCAAGAGCCTGCAGCTAGCATTCATAATAACTACCTTAAACTGTGCAGTATTTGTTATGAATAAGTGTATCTAAATTGTGTATATTGGAACATTTGTCGTAAGTCAAACAAAAAACTAACAATAAACAGTGAGATAAATTAAGTAATATTAAGGGATCAAACCAATTAGAAAAAAATATATTTACGCAAATTAAAAGGTATTAGAAAGTCAAACAATTCAAATAAGACAGGAGTCAAACTGGATAGAGAGTATTTTAAGTGCAAATATTTCAGATACGTATTTAATATACTTTTTCTACTTTGCTTTTAACTGCAGATTACGGAATGTAGTTTGGAATTAAACAGCGCGTGATTTTATTCGAGCAGATTTATTTTAAAAATCCGTTGAATGTACGCTGATGCCTTTAGCTAAGGTGAGTTCTACGGGAAGGGGGACATACTATAGGGGGTTATTCCTCACGTTACGTCGGATAATTAACTAGAGTATGTGTTCATTAACTTTTGATCTATTGGAAATAACCATATTGTTTCAATTATAAACTTGTTAATAGACATCGAAAAACACTAAATTAGAATTTCAGATGTACTTGAAGCACATGAGAAGCGCCGAGATGAAACAAACTTACCACTCCTGCAACAAGCATAGGGCAAGCGGTCCCTGATTTCTAATTATACCATTACCATTAAGTTCTCCATTTCAAGTACATTGCGTATATTAAATATGAATAAATCGGTATTTTAAGTGCAACTGCAATAAAGTATAATTTCAAGTGCAATCTCAATGTGAAATCAACTAAGACGTCTAGGTGATCAGTCAGCAAGAGACCGGTCTATTCTTGATATATGGTCATGGGTTTCCCAAGGAATTG